TGTGTTACTGTTAATTTCTCCTTTTATGTCTGTTAATAATTGCTTTATATATTTAGGTGCTCCTATGTTGGGTGCATAGATATTTACAGGTGTTATATCCTCTTGTTGGATTGTTTCCTTTATCACTATGTAGTTCCCTTCTTTGTCTCTTGTTACAGTTTTTGTTTTAAAGTCTATTTTGTCTAATACAGGTATTACTATCCCAGCTTTCTTTTATTTGCAATTTGCATGGAGTATCTTTTTCCATCCTTTCACTTTCAGTTTGTGAGTGTCGTTAGGTCTGAAGTGTGTCTCTTGTATGCAGCATATATGTGGGTCTTTTAATCCACTCAGCCACACTATGTCTTTTGATTGGAGCATTTAGTCAATTGACATTTAAAGTAGCTATCAATAAGTATGTACTTATTGCCATTTTGTTACTTTTTTTCTGGGTGTTTTGGTAGTTCTCTGTTCCTTTCTTCTTCTCTTGCTCTCTTCCCTTGTAATTTGATGGCTTTCTCTAGTATTATGTTTGGGTTCCTTTCTCTTAGATTTTTTTGTATTTATTATAGGTTTCTGGTTTGTGATTACCATGGAGTTCATATATAATAACCTATGCATATAGCAATCTATATTAAGTTGATGGTCTCTTAAGTTTGACCTCTTGCTAAAAGCTCTACTCTTTTACTCACCTCCTCCCACAGTTTATGTTTTTGATATCATATCTAACCTCTTTTTTGTGTACATTTATTGGTTATGTTCTTATCATGGAAATAGATAATTTTAGTACTTTTGTCTTTTGACCTTCATATTGGCTTCATGGGTGGTTGGTCTGCTACCTTTACTGTGTATTTGCCTGTACTGGTGATTTTATTTTATTTTTTAATAATTTTATTATTCCTACTTGTGACCTTTTCTTTTCCACTTAAATAAGTCCCTTTAGCATTTCTTTTAAGGTTGGTTTATTGGTGATAAACTCCTTTAGGTTTTGCTTGTCTGCAAGAGCGTTTTAAATTGAAACATCATTTTGCCTCAATTGTAGATGGGTCTCTGGACATAGATAAGAGCTCATCTTTGAAAGATAATACCATGTAATATGAAAATTATGGAATGCATATGTATTTCTCTTCTTTGGAGGTAGTTAAGAAAATGCTGGGGCCAGCCCGGTGGCACAGCAGTTAAGTGCGCACATTCCACTTTGGCAGCCCAGGGTCTGCTGGTTCGGATCCCGGGTGCGGACATGGCACCCCTTGGCACGCCATGCCGTGGTAGGCATCCCACATATAAAACAGAGGAAGATGGGCACGGATGTTAGCTCAGGGCCAGTCTTCCTCAGTAAAAAGAGGATGATTGGCAGCAGTTAGCTCAGGGCTGATCTTCAAAAAAAAAAAAGAACGAAAAGAAAATGCTGGTGGGGCACATATCTAGATTTTACGGAAACTTTTCTTGCAGAAAACAAGGTATTAAACTAGAAAGTGAAATGTAAATCTTCTTTCAATCACCATATTTCCAATTTTATAGGAGAGAGAGTGAATATGTGTGTTGGGGAAAAGATTATGTCTGGGTCAGCGGTTGGCAAACATTTTCTGTAAAGGGACAGACAGTAAATATTTTAGGTTTGCAGACCATATGGGCTCGACACAATCTCTCATCTCTGCCATTGTAGCAGGAAAGGAACCACAGACAATACATAATTGAATGGGCATGGCTGTGTTCCAATAAAACTCTGTTTACAAGAACACGTTATGGGCCAGTTTGGTCTGTGGGCCATAGTGGTCAACTTCTGTTCTAGGTTCTGTGCTGGGCACTTTATATATACTATCTTAATTGCTCAGACCACTGAACATCAAGATATAGTCTAGTTACACTAACCTAACCTAGTTAAATTATATGAACATAGGTAAAGAGACATTTTTCTCATGCATCCAGGAAGGACCGGTAAATAAGGCTGGCCCCAGACTTTTCCACGAAAGTATTCAATGCTAGAAGGACATAAAGGAGGAACCTCATGAGAGTTCTAAGGCAAAGAAAGTGTGCCATGTGAATACTACATTATCCAAGATGCCTTCACGTAAAAAGCTATAGGCAGACCCTCTCACACATGAAATAACTCAAAGAATACAGACTCATGAGCACTTCTTTAAAAAACTGTGCATAACAAAGTTCTACATTGAGATAAATCTAAATAAAGAACTCAGGAATGGGCGTTCCACAATAAAAGGACTGCTAATGAGGCTTAAATATGTTTGAATATAGAGCCAATTGCAGAGCCAAAACTGGATTCCAAGCCACCATGGGAATTATCTGTACAGAAATTAAAGTGAAAGCTACAAATGTGGACAATACAAAAACAACAACGCTACCAACACAAGTCAAGAAGTGGGTGAAGGGAGTTGGAAGGAATTGTGAGAATGCTGAGTCTAAAATAGAAACATGTAATGACACTAACCTTCTAATATTTTTCGTGTTCTCTTTTTAGCTTTGGAGGCATCTTTTAAAGAATTGTTTCTGGGGCCGGCCCCATGGCAGAGTGGCTAAGTTTGCGTCCTCTGCTTCAACGGCTCAGGGTTTCACGGGTTTGGATCCCAGGTGCGGACATGGCACTGCTCTTTGGGCCATGCTGAGGCAGCATCCCACATAGCAGAGCCAAAAGGGCCTACAACTAGAATGCACAATTACGTTCTCGGGGGCTTCAGGGAGAAGAAGAGAAAAAAAGAAAAGACAAAGAAGATTGGCAACAGATGTTAGCTCAAGTGCCAATCTTTAAAAAAAAGAAAAAAGAAAATTGTTTCTCTTGTAGTGATGGAAATATTTATTTGAAGTTCAGCAGTTCTTCTGTTTCACATCCATTAAAATAAAATTAAATTAAGTTTAATTCTTTTAATTTAAAAAGCATCTATGGTGTAAGCTCATTTTTTAAAAATGTATTTCTATCTATTTTTCTAACTCCACATTTGCATTTAAAAAGATGCTTTGGATAACAAAGGGTGTTTGGTTGTGTTATCCTAAATAAAGAATAGAATTTCAGGATAGAGGGATTTGAGCTATTTCTATATTTCTAATTCTTTTTACATTTCCTTATTGATTGAATTTATATCATGAGCAAGTAAAATTTTTTTTTGGAGGTTTAATTACTTAAATTTTTATTATGCTTATGTTAAATAATAAATGATTCGTTTCAATTTTTGGGTGAGTCGTTCTGAGTGAAGATGGCAAAGGTTGATGGAAACAATAACAACGTTCATATTCAAAACCAAATAAGTATAAAATAAAGTGGGACTTCCAGATTGACGAAACCAAAAGCTTGTTATGTGGACAAATGGAGTTGAGATTTGCACAACATCGATGAACCTGGCGGGCATTATGCTCAATGAAACAAGACAGAGAAAGACAGGTACTGCTTGGGGTCACTTACATGTGAACTCGAAAAACAACTAAAGAAAGGTCAATTCACAGAAACAGAGAGTAGAAAAGTGGTGGCCAGTGGCTGTGGAGTGGGAGGAAGAGGGAGAGGCAGGTAAAAGGGGACAAACTTTCAGCTCTGAGATCAAGGAGCTCTGAGGATCTCATGTCTGATGTGGTGCCTAGAGTCGAGAACACTGAATTGTATAATTGAGATCAGCTAAGAGAGCAGCATTTCAGTGTCCTCACACACACACAGTCAATAAGTGAGGTGAAAACAACAATCAGAGTTGAGGAGAGAGGAGAATGAGGGTGTGAATCCTGGGAACTAGATCAAATTCCTGGGAGAACTTCAGACTTTCAAAGGCCATGAGATAGGTGGGTTCAAACCAAGAATCCAGGAGACGCAAGGAATGGGGTGACATCTGGCTTCCAGGTGGAAGAAATAGAAAACTAGCTAAGGTCTAGAAGGCCCAGGAGGGTGGAGGGAGGCAGTTGTAGGCCAGTTGGTGGCGGAGGGGCTGTGGTCCAATCGGCTGCCCTCCTCTCACCTCCCCCCCTCAGGAGCCCCTGTGACACGGCCACAGTTCCATGATGAGAGCATGGGGTTCTAATCTCCAAGTCACTCCCAGTGCTCAGTTGCCTGAGAGTAGGACTGTATTTGAGATATGGAAACTCCTATCTTATATCTAAAAAGCATTGTTGCTACCTGGTTGAGCTCCAGTTCTGCTTCCTGGGTGATTGGTACCATCCTCCGCATCCTGTATGGACTGGGGCTCTTCCTCCTGTTCTTTCCCTCCCCCAAAAGGAATCTGCCCTTACAACTAACTTACAAAAGGAGAAACGTCAGGAAGGTAAGAAATCCTGGACCGAGACCCACCAGAAGATGAGTCTCTCTTCTTTTTCACTGTGATTTCCACTTCTCTGAATCAACTAGAGGGACTCCAGGGATGGGAAAGAATAGAACATCATCCTTCTAGAGACAAGCCAGGTTGGGTGGGCAGGGGTGAGAGTGGGCACAAGGATTTCGATCCAAAGCTCTCCAAGCAGGAGTCCCGGTGTGGTAGAGGGCTCCAGGGAAAGTCCCCAGGCCAGTGACCAGTGGCCATGGACGGGATGCTGAGTGGGATCTGTGGGAAGACAGGCCCTGAGCACTGGTTCCCCAGCCACCTTCCCGGGGCAGGTGTCTCAGGCGGGCCTTTTCTCTGTCGTGGTTGATCTGAGGGCAGAGCTGAGCCCCCGAGAGCCTCTGGGCAGGACCTGGAGTCGGGCTGTAGCCTCAGGAAGCAAAGTCCTCCCTGAGAAAGCTCACAAGATTCTGTACATCTGAGAATGTGTGCGTTTCTTGAGCAGAGGAACAGTGACAGAAGATGCATGCTGGTCCCACATGGGGACCTTCTTACGATCCTCAAAGAAGGAAGACAGCAAATGTCCATTTTGTGTTCAATTATCCACTTCAAAGTAAGTAAAAGGGAAGAAACACCCCAGAGCCCCAGGAGTTCAGTGTAGACAGTCATCTTGCTGTGCGTCTGCAGCTGGTCCAGAGAGAGGAGAGGGAGCCTTGGGGCTCAGCCCCGACAGTTTCTTGTTTTTCCTCTCATTTCAGCGTCAAGTGGAGCCGAGAGGGAGGAGCAGCAGGAGCAGGAAGAAAAGGGGAGCTTGCAAAGGTAAGCAAGCTCCTGCCATTCAGCCCTGTGCCCCAAAGCTGGCCTCCATCTCCTGTCCCTGAGCACCCAGCTCCGTGGGCTCGAGGATGCCAGGGACAGAGCCTGTCCCTCAGGAAACAGAGCCCTCAGGGAGGCTCCTGGGAAGGAGATGAAAACCTGAGTACTTGCCAGATTCTGTGCTGGGAACTAAGGCCAAGGCCAGCAGGCGTCTGGAACAGGGTGTTGCCCAGCAGGGGCATGTGGGCTGTGGTGGAGGTTGAAGCACTTGGTCAACGACCAACCTCAACCCATCAGCAGCCTTGCCACCCCCGTCAAGGATCCCGTGGCCTTGGGCACTGGTGCCTGGGCTCCAGAGTCTGACCTCAAACAGTCTCCCCTAAAGGCACATTGCACTCAGCCTCCTGTAAGAGCCCTAGGCCCCTGCCTTCATCGCTGTGACCCAGTGCCCTAATTTCTAGCTTGCAGAGCTGGCCGGAAGGACCTGGCAGAAGTGGGGGGCCTGATGTCCCTTTCGCAAAGGTAAGGAATCTTGCCCTTCTCTCCTGGGCTTCTTCCTTGTAGAGTCTCTGATGTGCCCCAGGGCTACAGGCAGCTTGGGGCTGAGCTGGGAGGGGAGCCATGGGGCAGGGGGTGGCAAGAGGCCTGGGGTGAGGGACAGCAGGAGAATTCGGTGAATTGAAGGGGGGGCCAGGGAGGGCCATGGGTCTCAAGGGGCCACCCCCACCTGGCCTGCCCTGCTGTCCCAGGGCCCTCTGCTCCTGGCTACAGCTTGTGCATCTTGTTTCCCGCAGCTCCCCAGGGAGGCTGTCTTGTAAGGGATGCTTCCATCGCTTGTCATCTCAAGACTCCCCTGGGGAGGCATGCAAGACAGCATCTGCTAGAGTCCGCCAGCCATGCGGGAAGCCTGTGGAAGGTGCTCCTCTCACCATGACCCCAGCACTTTCCCTGGCTCTTCTCACCCAGCGTACTCTACCTTTGGCCTCCACTCTGCCAGCAGAACCTCCATCGGCCTTGACCAGAACTCCACTAGGCCCTGTTGCCACGAGCTCAGCTCCAGGTCACTCCTGTTGGCCATTTCCCAACTCAGGCCACGGCCGCGTGAGCTGTCGCATTGAGTTCCTCTCCAGGTGGAACATAATCAAGGTCTTGCTCTTCCCTGTGTCATCACACTTCGAGTCCCAGCAAGGGCACCTGTCCTGCCACTGACCAGTGGCCTCATTCTGGGGAGGCCCCACAAATAGGGAGGGAGAGACTGATAGCCCCTCAGTTGCCAACCCTGATGTCCAGAAGCTGCTCGAGACAGAAATCACGGAAAGAATACAAACGGAGGTCTGGGAAAAAGAACAAGATGATCCACACACTCCTCAGATGCTCGAAGCACACACTATCATGTCTGGGCTGAATTCACGCTGGGGCCTACCCCTCCTGTCTTTGGGGCCTGCAGATCTGAAAGCATGTGAGGCTCAACACTCGGCCCTTCCACGGTCCCCTTTTCCCCCCGCAGCCACCTGTGATTCTGGGGCCCCCTCGAAAGCTGACTTTGCACACTTCATGGGAAAACCTCTTGAGCCTCCTCCAGGTGACAAAGTCTTAACTTTGACAACAAAAGCATCAGTTCCCAGCCTGGCCCATCCCCTCCCTGCTCCCTCACCTGTGTGTGAGGAAAATCAGAAGGCCCTGGGAGGGACCCTACCTGGCGATGGCAGTGGGCCCTCAGAAGCCTCTCTCTTGGGACAGGAGGGCTGGCCGCCTTCTCCAACCTTCCCATTCAGCCTCTCAGAGAGAAAAGGGCAGAGTGGGACCTTCGTGGGGGCCGAGCAAGGCCGTTGAGAGCTGACTTCAGGGTCAGCAGTGGCCAGGAATGAGCCTCGGGAGGAGAGTAGGGGTGGGGCCTCACCAGAGCCCTGCCATGGGGTGGCAACTCTGGAGGGGGAGTCAGGGTCCCAGTCTTGGAGCCAGGTCGGGGGAATAGGAGACACCCTAGGGACCAAACCCCTCAAGCCCCTGCCTGAAAAGGAAGAGGTTTTTCATGACAGCCCTTTCAGAAAAATGTTGAGACGCCTCCTGCCCTGCCTGAGGCCCAACAAGGATGAAGCACCAGAGGATCCCCTTGCAAAGGCAAGCCCGCATCAGCCACCGCTCAGAGCCGGGCACGGGTCACACACAGCTCGGCGTTGGATGGCAGGGCTGTTCAGGAACCATCGACAGTGACATCCTTTGCATCCTGGGAGAGAAACTGAGGCTTGCCGAGAACTTTTGGCCTCCCAGTTGAAGCATCATAAAAACCATTTCAGGCCTGGGAAGCTGGACATACCTGTTACCACGACGTTCCCTCCTCCCCAGAGCAGAGAAGAACAATGACAGAGGACAGTCCCCAACCTACCTCCAGGAACCACAACTGTCCGACTACGAGGGAATGGATCAGAATAGGCATGGCAACTGGACCTTGCCATCCAGGCAGCCGCGGTCCCCAGCCAAACCCTGCCAGCCTGTGCTAAGGGTGGCAGCTGCCTCAGCCAATCCATTACCCGCCATGCTGTCCTCAGATATGTGTCTCCTGGGATGAGTAGACTGTGTCTGACACACCTTTCCTCATAGGAACGCTTATCTCCCCAAATGGGGAAGTGGAGGAACAGAAAACCTGGTTTTTCTCCTTATCCCACCCTCTGTGCTAACGGTGTCTTCCTACCCCAGTTTTCCCCAAATACGCTTTTTTTCTCCTTAGAGGTTGTGGCTTCTGTTTGTGCCCTGCTAGTGGCAAAAACGGGGTCAGGCTCCGCCCTTCCTGAGTGTCTGCTTTGGCTTCCAGAAGAGACAGGGCCATGGGGGGAGGCTGACTGCAGAGTGGCTCACCTGACCTCTCCCCAACTCCCCCATTGCACCTGAAGTTCCCATCACACCGTCCTTACAAAAACAAATGGAAGCTTTGGGCTATTTGCAGATGAGCAAAACCTCTAAGGCCCCAGCCCAGGATGGGCCCCGTCTGTCCTCTCCTGCATTCTCTGGCCCTTGAACTTGTGGGGCTGTAGGGAGGGGGTTTGCAGAGGATCCAGGAAGTGTAGAGACAGGTTCACAGGTCACAGAGTGGGAAGGGGAGTGTGGGGCAGTGCTGGCCCTGAGTCCGGGGGGCGAGGAAGCTTGCCCTGCACCCCAAGCTCTTGGTGGGAATAGATGACGCTGCCCCGGGAGCTTCTTCTCTCCCTGATGAAGCTGCCATGGAGATGGGCCTGCGCATCCCTCTTGGCCCAGCGTCACCGTCCCTCTGTCCTTGTCACAGTCTGGAGCAGCAGCGACAAGGATGACTGTGCTCCCGGCTCTGAGGGCGGGCGGGTGGGGAGCACGGATGCTGCTGTGGGCCTGACCCCTCTGCCCAGAGGAGCTCAGAGCTCTGCTCTCCTGCACCTGCCTTCTCCTCGGCACTCCTCCTCGTCGTTGCCATCGAAGCAGTCGGGCAGCCCGTCGCACTGCCAGGTGCCAGGGACGCAGCGCCCGTTGCCACACATGAAGTTGCCTGGAATGTTGCACTCATTGGTGAAGTTGTTCCCTGGGAGCAGCTGGCCCTCCGCCGCGCTGCCCAGCATCAGGCACAGCGGCCCCGGCAGCCACACGGTGCGGCCGCTGCTCGCTGCCGGCGCCGCCGCTGACGCCGCAAGTAAAATTTTTAACAACATGGTGGAGTGATTTCCAAAAAGAAAAAAATTAAAATGGAAAGGGAATCACACATGTTAGCAGTAGTTAACTTTAGGTGATGACACAAAAAAAGGTTGACAATTTCCTTTTGTTCATTTATATATTGAAACAATTTTATAGAAACCAACCAATATATTCTACTTTTTCACAAGATAGAATAGAAACCATAGAAAGAACGTTTTCAAGAAGGAGAGAGTGGTCAACAGTGCAAATTCTAAAAAGAAGATGAACAAGATTAGGGCAAATATTAGCAACAGGAATGTCATGGTTAACTTTAATGAAAACAATGTCAAGGAAATGGTGGAAGCAGAACAGAGAAATAAATGAGCATGGAGTGAATGGGAAGGGAAGAAGTGGAGAGTCTGAGTTTAGGTGATTTTTTACCAAATAAGTCATTCTTCAAAAACACCTCTTGAGATACTGCTATTTCCTCCATTCTTACAGAGAAATTGAGATTTATGCTTCTTAACTAAAATTTTATGGCTGGTAATTACTGAGCCGGTATTCAAACCCAAGTCTTTCTGACTCCCAAGCCTGTTCTCTCTCACTGTACCATGATGTGTGTGAAGTTTTAGTTGGAAGAGAAGATGGAAGATACAATTAGAGTGGAGAGAAAACAGAAGTTACAAGGATGCCTTTGGAAGGGCATGTCCAGCCCACACTCCCTACACCTGAGAACTTTCTATAGTCATGATCATGATAGCTATGTGTGTACTTCATGGCCCTACCATCCAGGCCATACTGATGAACTATGGTGGACAATCAGTGGACAATACTGATTGCACTGGCATAGACCAAACATTAGCCTAAATCTGCTAGGAATTTTTATTAGAGCTACAAGATACTAGTACTTTTTTTCAAACAGTCACTTGAATTGAGGAGAATTAAAATGGGCCAAGGTAGCCATATTTGTCTATGTGTGCATGGAGACACAGAGAAAGCTGATCAGCAGAGACAGATAAACTGAAAAAGACAGAGATGGAGATAGAGATGGAGAGTCGGGGGGATAGAGAGAGAGGTCATGTAGGGAAAGCAAAGATGAGAGATCACATGGCTCCAGAGAGAGAGAGGGACCAAGTGAGGTGGAAGAGGAGTTGCTTTGATTCAGATGGCTTTCCAGTTCCAGTTCCGGTAAGATCTAGCTGCACTTTTTGACTGAGCCAATTTGAGTGGGTTTCTGTTACTGCCAACCAAATAGTCTTGAAAAGGCAGGAAGGTAAGAATTTAGACACGTCAGGAAAGACTAATGGAGGTTCGAAAGCTGAAGGATTACCTGACATCACCATGGCCCTGGGCCTGCTACTTATCAACATGTCATTGGATGGATTGCTTAGCCATTGGAGAGTTCCAATTCTACTTAATAAAAAAAGTTTCCTGAGAAATATAGCCCTGAGCCCTCTTCCCAGATGCTTTCATCCCTCTCTGACTGGGCCAAGAGAACCCTATAGCATGGAATTTTTAAAAAAGAATATAATAGGAAGCATCTGTAATTCAAAAGCAGGCTGTGAGCTCTTGAAGTCCTCCTCAAACTGCAGTGAATTCTCTTTCCTTAACAGGAACCTGTGAGGATTCCCAGGCTGCTGTGAAACTGACAGCATGAGCCCCCCTCCAGCGCTTCGCAGTCTTTGAGGGCTGCGTGTTTGTTTCCAAGTTCCCTTACTGTTCCTTGAGTTGGGTTTGGAGAACATAGTGTTTCCACGACTGCTGGGTCCCAGTCCTTCAGGCAGCAACTGGAGGAGGAAGACATTGTAGAATTCTGGTGTCAAATCTTTATTTATATTAAAGAATTGGCTTTAGAGATTCAGGTCATTCATTATCATAGTTTTCCTGAAAAGTCGTATTTTTTAATCCATTGGTTAGAAGAGTGATGACAACAAGACCCTAAGTTTAACTACAAATAATTCATTTCGCATTATTCTGATTCGAGGTGACAGCTGTTAATCCAATCATATGCTTCATCAGTTGCTTCCTATTGATCCATCAGCATCCATGGCATCCACTGATCCACCAGCATCAATACTTGAAGAAGATCTCCTCACAGCGCCATGACTTATCTTATAATAGACAGGAGGCACCATCCTCTTACCAAAGTTTGGAGTGTTTCCCTTTGTCAGGTCCTCTCTCATAAGAACCCAGTGGTTGTGGATTTTTCCAGAGGAGAGCTGATAATTCAATGTAGTGGATGAACTTTGGCTTTCAGATGGAGTGTGACACAGATGCTTTCCCTTGATGTATTTTATATCCTCAGCCAGCACTTCCTGCACATTAGATCACATCCTCTGAATAACAAGCATCAGTATCCAAGCCAATGTGTGCAACTTGGCTGATGTAGATTTAAATGCTACGTTGCATTACAAAGTGCTACATGTCACCCCAGGTTGTGTTCGGCTCCATCATGGCTTAGGCTGATGGGATGCAACATAACAGGATGTGGCAAGCTGGGTGATGTATAATGCAACGGTACGTGTCCTGCCTGCAAAGCAGTGTGTTCTCAGTGGGAGCAGCACATCACAACAGAAGGCCCTGCTCTCAACTGCTCCGGCGTCTGTCAGTGGACTGGGGGGAGCTGGCTCACTTAGGTAATGGGCTCTCTCAACACCTTAGAAACCACCGCTCAGTTCTAAGTTGCCTTTTGCCCAATTCTCTCAACAATTGCTTTCAAAAAACGAAGCCCATCAGCCTCAACTTAAAGCCACCTCAGGGAAGAGCTGAGCCTCGAATTGCATGTCTGTGGTTAGAAATTAGGTGTGCTTGAGGTCTTGTCATTGGAAGACTCTTAAGTGCAACTTCCCATATAGCCCCTGCGTGTGTTTGTCAGATTTGCATTTCACTCTATGATGGAGTCAGTGATACCAAAGCATCTACACAAGGCTACTGTTAGCTTAGAAGTTGCCTTCTTTGTAAATTAGAAAAGGCACTGCTTTTTCTATGAGGTGCTTACAGGACTGCACTTTCTGACAGTAGGCATTTGCTATCCAGAACAATCCCCTGTTCTTGGTCACTTGGAGGAATCTCTAACCTATCTCTTCCCAGGCCTCCTCGGTCAAGCTATCCTTGTTTCTTGCCCACTGGCACTGCCTCTTGCAAATACCTATCTCCACACAGAGCCCACTTCAGAGAAAACTTACCTGGAAAGTGAAGGGATGTTTAAACCCAAGCTGTTCCAGAACACCCACTCCCTAAGGGCAGGACCAAAGCACACCGATGGTTATGTCCACAATGGTGAAGAGAATGTAGGCTCTCACTGGATACAAGATGCTAAATCATGATTAATAAATGAGGTGTTGGTGTTTGTAGATAATTGGCTCTCCCAAGTATAAAAATAGTGTTTTATTTTAAAAAAATTGAAATGTAAAGTATAAAGTAGAAAACTAAAATCACCTGTAATCCTACCACTCAGAAATAAATCACTATTAATGTTTAGGTGTATTTTCTTCCCATTTTTGTTGTAGGCATACACATGCATTAAATAAAACTCTTGAGATTTTATATATAATACATATTATCTTATATAATGATTATGTTATAATTATAATATTATTAAATAGTATACAAAATATTAATAACATATGGCATAGGTATATCATATCATATCATAACATATGATAATATATTATTATAGATAAATATAGTATGTAATTTTATTCCCTTCTTTTTCCCCACTTTATATAACGTTATTAACATTTCCTCATGGTTTATTTCGGATAAATCACTAGCACAGGAATTAGTAAGTCAGAAGGGCGTTTGTAAATCATACGATACACACAGTCAATTTACAAGGATGCTGTCTGTCTGAAATCCCAGCAGCCTCGCAGGCCAGTGAAGAACAATCCATTGCCTTCCCCTGAGAAGGACTCAGTTCATTATAGCAGCTAGTCCACAGTGGCTGGAGGCTGAGAGCAGGCTTCCACTTCATTCACCAAGTCACTGGAACAAAAAATACTTTCACCCTTGACTCAGTTTCTCCCTCTATGAGAAGAACTTACAAACGACTACCTCCAGGATTCGTAAGGGCTTTTTGAGAGGATTGTCAG